TATTTTAAATTATAATATTACCATATACAGGGTGTTCATAATTAAACTTGAAATTTGCGAGCAGTCTGTAGCAAAAACTATGCAGCGAAATAGCATGAACATTGGGTATAGACATTGGGTATAAACATATAATTATAACATTGGGAATAGCAGAATGAAATGATGGGAATTTAATCGAGGAAATAAAAAACAATGAGTTTCAAAAAAGCTATGATACCGCTAGCTGGCGTATCATAGCTTTTTTGAGAACATATAAATAATCTACAAAAATTTACAAAACATGTTCGATATGAGGTCAACCATTGTCTGCTACCATCTGGAAGCATAAAATTACATGTCCGACTGTTGAAAGCAGAATGAACTGGGAAATGCTACGCACATAGCGTTCTATGCTTTCTTTAAGGTCGGATAGAAATGTGATGGGATCACGGTAGACCATGACCTTGAGATCACGGTAGACCATGACCACAGCTAAAAGTCGCAAGGATTCCAGTCAGGGGAGCTTAGGAAGCCAAGCTGTAGAAAATTGCCGGCTGATGATTCTGTCGTCACCGAAAAAGCGGCAGAGCACTTGTTTCACAAAACGGGCGATATGTGGAGGAGCACCATCCTGCATAAACACTGTGGTTGTAGTATCACATCGCCTTGCTTAAAGAGATAGAATAAGGGATTGCTCTAATAATGAAGCGTATCGGTGACCGGTTACGGTCATAGGACCTGCGGCGCTATGCTCTTCGGGGGGGGAAAGGACCTACGCTGAAGATTGCAGTAAAAGCCGCACCAAACCATTACATGCGAAGAGTGTGATGGAATTTATAGGAATTGATGTAGGTTTGAAGCAGCCCAAATACGGCAATTATGTGTATTAACCGTACCTTCCATATGAAAGTGGGCCTCGTCGGTCCACAAAATGTTCCACGGCCATTCATCCTGAAGCTCAACTCGCGCAAGAAACCGCAACGCAAAAGCTTGTCAACTATCCAGATCAGCTGGTAAGAGCTGCTGCACTAGCGACAGTTTATAGAGATAGTAGCGTAAGACTTTTTGAAGAATCTTATGAACCGTGGAACGAGGTTGGTCAATAGATGCTGCAATATGCCGAACACTATTGCTGCCACTGGTTTGCGATGTCTTCCTCCACTTGCGTCGTTACATCATCCAACATCTGTGCTGCAACACACTTTCGTCCCCTTCCAAGCTGAATCCCCAATGTTCCAGTAGCTTCAAATTTCCTAATCATGTTTGTTAGTCCTTGGCTAGTGCGTGGATCTTTCCGCAACAGCTGCAAAATTTCCGCAAAGCTTCGGTAGCAGAGTCTTCGTTTTCGCCAAACAATTTCACTAGTAAAGCACTTTTCTGGAGAGTCAAAGCCATCTTCGTTGACTTGGAAACGAGTATGACTGCGGTTCGCCACTCGCATCTTTATAGGGTTGCTGTGCACTCACAGGATAACTATGGTTACGACTTATGCCAATAGTTTACACTGCAAAATGGCATCTAGTGGTGGTTTTTGAAACTCATTCCCCCCCCCACCCTCTATAAAATTCCGATCATTTCATTCTGCCATTGCCCACTTTTCATGCAATTCTGCTGCATATTTTTTGCTACAGACTGCTCGCAAATATTTCAAGTTTAATTTTGGACACCCTGTATTTTAAAGATTAGTGGCTTTTTATTTAAATTTTACTAACAATTAGCAGCTTTATGCTGATTCTTTCTTTTACGCCTCATTTCGCCACATACTCGCACAATACAGAGGTTTATGCAAATTTTGTCAAATGCCATAAGTTAAATTATGAAGCAAAATAACATTCAGCATGATTCGTAACAGAAGGTTGCCTGTTGCCACCGTAAGCTGCTCCCTTAGAAACAGAAAGCCACTGATCAGAATAGACATAAATGCCTAAGTTGGTAGGAATTGAAAATTAACTGCACTTTGTCTAACCAAGTTAGTGTCATACCTTTGTGTAGATTAGCTGGAGTATAACCCAGTTAATATAAAGTTCAAATAAAATAGAAGTACCAGAATTGCTAGATTGTTTTAAGTCTCATTAGCTGCAAAGAATAAAGTTTTATGTTAAATTTTACACTTTTGTGTGATATCTTGCATCCACAATAAGGATTAAGCAATAACTCATCTTAACATGTAGATATAACTTCTAATGGTGAGCAGTTTGTTACAAATAATTAAGTTACTTAGTTAAATACCCTCAATCATAATAGATTTACATAGTTACAATTTCATTTCTAAAAGATATCCATTAAAAAGCACTAAGAACATTTTACAGCAGTTATAATTTATGATACTGATTCTGAAATGATATTAGTACAATTATATATTAAAAGCTACGAAACAGGTTTTACAGCGACAAAAACAACAAAATTTTATGCGTCTTTTTAATTTGAAAGTTTTCCCGATATTTTAGCTAATTTACATCATTTTCCTTATCCTTAGTACCTTTTCCAAGTTCTCTTAGTACAGTCAAAAGTCGTTAATTCGGACACCCATAATCCGGACCTCAAAGCTACAAACTTTCTGCGCATGCGTCTCGTTGACGCATACGCGTAAGACCTTTACGGCTGCGAATTTGCGTGTGCGCGTGCGCAAAATACGTTTAAGAATGCGCGTTTAATGTATAACGGACGGTATAAGCTAAGCTAAAATTATCTAATTATCTCAGTTAATGTTGCAGATTGCGTTGTTCCTTAATCTTCGAATTGGATCCGGCTTATTATTTTTTGCAGACTGTTAGAGCAATTTTATAAAAGTAAGCTTGAACTTTCGATAATGTCAAATAGAATTTCCGATATATATTTAATATGTAAAAGATCTACAAAGCGAAAGTATGTTTCGGAGTCCATTAAACAAAAAGTGGAATTGCTGCAAAAAATGGATAAAGGCATATCCTTTGTTTATCTTTAACGCCGCGGCGCGCAATGAATTGGAAGTTGATCTGTCAGCACTATCCTTATATTCAGGGCAGATGTTTTTATTTTATTTGGCTTATAATTGCTTACTAAATGTAGTATTTCATCTCGATGTACTCCGTCTTTGATATGATTTAAATCAAATGCCTCGTCATGATAATTCGCTTCCGATAGCGAAGAAAATAACAGAGGTTATTGAAAACGAAAAAATTTCGATTGACAAATTAGTCGGTATTCTCGACACAGCAATTATAGGACTTGAACAGCGGAACTTTGTAACTGAACAAGAAATTATGTCCGTTTAAAGAGAATGTATTATCACATAAGAAACGAAGTAACTTAAACAACTTACACTGAAAGAAATGTTTAATAAAGTAAACAAATAAATATTAAGCTTTTTTTTTTTTTTTTTGTAAATTTTGATACCCTTTAGATCATAATTTTCTTTATTTCGTAAATTACGGTTTCATATTTTTAATTTTATAATTTCTGCATGCCATTTTACCAGATTTAAACTGATGATCTATAATCCGTAATCGCCGAAGTCCCGATGAGTCCGGATTAACGACTTTTGACTGTATCAGTAAAAAAGTTAATGTTCCCACTAGTCTCTGCTTCATCTCCTAATTTGCTAATGTTTCAACAGCACACCTTTCACGAATAATTTTATTTGGCTTTATAAAATCAATTTATTTTTCAGCAAGTTCCCTCTTCATTTTAGAATTTTCAGATTTAATTTAAAAATTCATTTCTAAAGAACTGCTTGTACTTAGAACGTATAAAAGAAATTAAACTGCTAATTTTATTTCTTTCATAATACGAGTACTGAAAATACATAAGAAAGAATAAGTCAGGGGTAGTGCCAGAGACAGTGTGGCAGAATTTTTAGAATTTTATGAAGCAACGAGCAACAAAATTAAGGAACAGCAAATTTTTTAGAATTTATGGCAGTACTGATGATGAATCTTTTGGTTTTCAATTTCTTTGATTGCTTCAATGTTGCATCTAGCAGAAAGATAAGAAAATAAAGGGAGATTAGCATGTTAAGAGTAAGTCTTCTGGGACTAAAAGGGAGAAAATTCAAATAATTTTGTTTTCTCCAAAACATTAGAAATTCATCACAAATTTCCTACAAAACACATCCATTACATGTTAATTCCATGAAGACACACTTCATTTTGACCTATTTTTCTGGAAATTATAAGTCTATAAATCTTTCTGACCTTCCCAGGTGCAAGTTGTAAATCCCAAAAGAAAAATTATCCTCGTATAGTGAATTTTCAAGAGAAAACTGATACATGTTTAAATATTCTGAAAAAATTACATTTTTCTAAGAAATGTTCAAAAATTGTGCTTTACAGCATTATTTTTCAGAAACAAAATATTAAAATGGTCACCAAAACAAAAAGTAAATTCACTTTAAAATATAACAGGAGGAATAAAAGTGTTAATGGTTTTAATTTTAATGGTATTCCTAAAATATAATTTTAATATACTACCGTTATTTTTATATTTATCAGTTGTATGTTTGTTAAAAAAAATCTGTCAACAAAGAAATCTCCAAATAAAAACATTTACATAGAAATTGCCCTAATGTTGAGAAATTGCCAGATTTAGCACCACATAATGAAAGAACTCCTAATCTCTAAAAAAGTTATCTGTCAATACATCGCCAAAAATATCCCCTCAATTCAGACTCAAAATGGTACTCGAAAAAAAAAAAAAAAAAAAAAAAAAACTAAGAGAAATGTCAGATGAGTAAAAACAAGGGCCTTTTGCGGATTTTGGCCAAAATTAAGGAACTTTAATTAAAAAAAACCCTAAGGGCCATGCAAACCCTGTCCTTTTCTTACATTGTGCGACTTCAAGAATTGAATGAAAGGAGTAATTATTGCAAATTAATTAAAATTGGAAATTAAGAGACTATTGAGTTTAAGCTGAAAAATATCCTTATTGTTTACAATCAGAGATTTTAACTTCTACAATATTTGGTCTATAGTACAAGTCATCAATAACTCAGAATGAATACCTATGATTAAAAATTAATAGGAAAAAAGAGAAAACAGACAAAGTTTACAATACAATTTCTTTATTTGTATAAATATTTCTCTACACTACTCATACAATGTACCACGAAACAGCACAGCACAATACTGGTTGGGCAAAGCTTTGTACAGCAATGTTCATCAGGGTGCGATACCCATTCCTAACAGGTAATAGAATTAAAATTGCCAAAATGTTAACATTGTACAATGAAGGATGAGGTTGAACATACACAACGAGTGAAATATCGTTGACTGACACATTATGATTTCTCACATGAAATGTCTGCTGATACGTTTGTTTCCAATTGCTTGCTCACTGAAAATACAATCTCTCCACACCAATACACACATATTTTCACAAGGAAGTTTTAATTTGAACAAATATGAAACAAGTTATTTTTAACATATTCCTCAATGGCAATAAAAATACTCAACTTGTCAACATGAATATTCATGAAACTAATTTTATTCTTTATCATCAAGTACTGAATTCAAATGAGAAATTTACACAGGGAGAAAAATTAGATAAACTCAATAAAAAGTTATTTTATTTACAACTATACAAATACATGTAATATACAGTAGCTCCTTGTTTAATACTAAAAATAACTTTTTAAAAAGTTTCCTAATTAAAAACTTCTCATCAATCATAAAAAGGTGACAGCTGACTTTTTCGATTAAAATTGTTTTATATTTTAAGATTTAATATATCAAAGCAGAAAAACATGTTACTAAATCTAAATGTACTAAACTAAATGTACTAAACTAAAATCTAAATGTACTACTAAATCTAAATGTACTAAACTAAAATGTGTTAATTCTATTTTTGATATATAATATTTTCAAATATTTAGGCTGAAGTCAAACTTTGAGGTATATAAAAGCAAACTTTTGAGCTCAATCCCAAAGATACGACTGATAGTTATCATAATAATAAGAGATTTAATTTTGAAAATGCACACCTAAACTTCTCCCAACAATATTGCAAAACCTACATGAATAGTTTTTCAACATGATAATTATTCCACAAATTTATTACTATTATCTTCTACACTAATTTGAAAGGTAATGATTAACATTTTGAGTTAGTTTTTGAATCTAAAAGGTAATAATTACAATGCTTGTATGCAAGATATTGATATTTCAGGTGAATATTTAGTATTAGCTACATCATTATTCTTTAGAGTCTATTACTTATTACTTTTATCATAAATGTATCTATAATCACAAATTTTCTTTTAATTTCAAAAAAAAAAAAAAAAAAAAAAAAAAAAAAAAAAAAAAGAGAGATTTTTAATATATTATATATATACTAGCAATTTCAGTTTTCCTAACAACTGTTTTCTAAAATAATGTGTTTATATATTTAAGACCTAGGAATTTATTTTGCTTGCAATTTAAAAGGAAAAACATACAGTACTTTTAAATATTAGCTGCAACATACTACCATATCTAAACAAATGGAAACAACTCCTCATCTTATGACTGAAATTAAAAACATATTTAACAAAGCTTTCCCCCCTTATCAGTTAAAAAAATATTGCTAATTCGATTTTTCACAAAGTATATTTACCATATCTTTACAGTTTATTAATAAGAAAAATTAAAAGTTCCCAAGTAAATATTTTTCTAGTGCATAATATAAGAGGCTGTATCGTATAAAATACACAGAAAAAAAACATTTTAGTTACAGCAAAAATTTAACATATTAAACTAGGAATTACTGTATACAGTAATAAAATATATGAAAGTTATCCTTTATATATATATATATATATATATATATATATATGTACATCAATACTACCATACATTCTATTGTTAGATTACATACATGTATATCTATGCATACATACATGCAGTAAGATATGTCTGAAATGCATTTAATGAAGAACCATTCGAATTCATACTTAATATTTACCTAGCAGATACCTGCTTCACAGAAGTTTCATTTCAGACAGCACAGAAGTTTCATTTCAGACAGACTCTACAATGTATGTATATATACCATACATAAACATGAATGCACTTTAATGAATAATATAACGTACAGAACTTCATAAAAAAATTACAGATACCAGCGGTGTACCAACAATGTGGTTCTAATGGCCTGATAATTTATCTTAAGCATTTGTATTAGAGCAAGAATGATAAATCTTTAGATAAACTTACCAGGCATATATTTATGAATTCTAACTCACAATTAGAATATCAGTGTTTCCCTATTTTGAAGTACCCTTCTGTAACTTCCAAATAATTTATTTTTTATCTGAATATCATTGCATTTCTTCTATTTGCATTTTTGTTTATTTTGTTAAGTTCTCAAAATAATTTTCTTCAATTTTAAAAGATTGCTCAGATATGCCTATGACTTGTCCATCAACGCATACTTGAAAGCTTAATTTCAGACTGATGAAAAAAATGGTCAAGAATTAAAAATGTTGGGGGAAAGCGAGAACTACATATAATTAGGTAATTTCATTAATCACCTTATTTTTTCATTAATGTTTAATACACATGGTTTTCAATGATTTTTAATATTTATTTCCAGCAATAAGAATACTGGGAAATAATTTACAGATTTATTAAACCTAAGATGATTCTAAATGACAAAAACTAATAATCCTACAAAACACAAAATTTAGATAATTTCAGACTTCAGTTATTCCAATATACACCACTGGTATGCATTTACTATTTTCAAATGTGCCAAATTATATATACCAAACACATTTTAGAAAAAGAATAACTTCTGAAAGCAGAAAAAATGATAAATATAAGGAATGCTAGATCAAGAATATTCTGCATATATAGAGAAATACATACATGAAAAATTATCTGCACTGTAAAACATTCAGCAAGCACTTTACAAAATACATTAAGAATGAAAGGGCAGTGTTGGTAAATTATGTTTTAGTGTTTATCAAAGTTCTCACTTTCAAATTCCACAGCAGACGTGTTTCCTTTATTTTGCTTACAGAAACCATTCTTAAGACATTCAGTTTTGGAAAAAAGTAATGCCTTCATAGCTTTATACATAAACCATAGATACTTTTTAAAATAAAAATATTCTTTATTAATCTTCTTAATTTATTAATCACTGTTTTGCATTTCACTAAAAATAGGCAATATACAATTATGCAATAAAAGAGTACTTTAAAAAATTTTCTGTCAACGTAATATAAACCATGATGAACAGAAATACAAGGACAAGCTAATGAACCATATTTTCTACCATAAAATTTATAAAATATAGTTTTAGAATCATAAAATTCCCATTCCCTTATTTTAAAAACTTAATATTCAGTACAATGACAGTAAAAATTTACAGAAATTGAAATTCAAGTTAAAAGCAAAATATTTAATTCAGTTTTATTACAAATTATATGAAAGTATTCAAAATGCATTTAGTAAAAACAGCCCAATTTATTGTACACTTTAATTAAAATCAAACAACATAAGTAAATTAAATTTTAAGCATAATATACAAAATTATTTTCTTCTGGTTCTCAAAAAGTATATACAACTGCATACACATTATCCAATATCCTAACCACTTTTCACTCAGATTTCATTATTTTTACACAACTTAACACTTCTGAAGAATTACTTAACACTATACATATTTAATATTTATACTATGTACAGCAAAAGGACCCAGCCAAGAATAAGTCGTACACATCTAGCGAGAATTACTGCTACAGACAGCAACTATCAGATTAGGAACAGTTGATGCTCTTGCAGCGGGCCTAAGACTAGAGCTACAGTTTCTTTATATAATTAGGAAATAAGAAAAATTTACTAGAATTTTATTGCTTTTCTTAAAGCCCTACTCAACGAATGAACACTTGGCATTATACAGAAAGATCTTCATTAATAGGTGGTTTATGAAGGTTTGATGTGTGTAAATGCATGAAGTCTTATTTTTTAAAAACTGATGCATTAGTTCTATTTTTTCTCTTCTTTACAGAATATTAAATGATTTAGTAGCCCACTTTTTTTATTATGCCCATTGAACATTTCTATCTGTTTTATTGAAGGCGATAATTTGAACTAAAGAAACAAAAATATGTATCACAAGGCAGTCATTTAACTAAAACCAAGTCTAAACTTATGCTTTACAATTAAGTTAGATAGATTACAATAATATAATATAATGGGGAAGAACTTTTACTCCATAAACACAATGTAAGTAATTTAGGATTTTTTTTTTTTAATTTTGCAAAAATTACATTATTTGTAATCTAATACATATCCATAGTATCAACAATTTAGTCATAATGTAACAGTGAAATTAGCTTTCCCATTTCCTTTACTTTAAACTGAAAATAATCATATAATCATTGTCTGAAGACTTTTCTTAAACTGAAACAAACTCGATTTGACAAGTTTATACTAGATTAGACATAGGTCCTAAATTTTGATTCAGATTAACTTCATGAGGATATTATTATTACAATAATTTAAATAAAAACAAATAGCTAAAATACTGGCAGCCCAGCACCATAATTTTTAATTTCTACAAATATATTAGCAGCTTAAAGGTGCAAGAGAATGCCAAGATATAACTCTGGCTTTATATAAGAATCACATAGTATATTTTCTGAAAACTATTGATGTCTCCCATTTCTTTAATATTATTGAAATGCATTATTCTGAATCCTAATATTTTCAAGTTGAAATAGGAAATTAGATCTAAACCATTTGTGCAAGTACGGAAAATTTCAGAAATTTGCAATAACACTCTTGACCCCAGATTCTTCGCCTTCTAAAAAGAAATACTTTATATGTAGATTCTTTAAAATATAATATAAAAATACATAAAATTACTTTTTCTAATATGTGCATTAAATTTATTGATTTGAAGTCTGTAAGTATAAAAACTAGTATTTATGAATGTTTAATTAAAATGACTTAAAATAAATAGAATTGCAAATAAAGTTGAAGACTGAAATCTTTTTTTTTTATGCATAAAATATTACAAATCTCAATAAACCCCTTGTAAAAAGATCACATATATAAGATAGTACACATTTTATACAAAATAGTAGCAATGAATTCAAATTTTTAATATATGAGATGTTTCAATTTAATTGGTATGATATTGAAATAATACTTTTAGAAAATATCCTCTGTAAAATTACAAAGGAAAAAAATTATGAAGGTTAGTACAATGAAAATCATACTAACTAAAAATACTTGTTCATATTTGCTTTGTAGTAAGAATATATTACAATAATTTGACTATAAAAAAGTTACAAAGAGAAATTTGTAAAATAATAATGCTCCAAATGAGAACTGTAATTTTTATGCTCCTACTGATACAAAATTTTCCTACAAAAATGCAAACAAAAATCTATAGAAACAAATTTGATGTTTAAAAAAATAACCTGATGAAATTTAACAACAATATTATATCGGCATACAATTTTACAGATAAAATCCGTGAAGAGTTTTATTTTAAAAAAAATTTATTTCTTGCTGAAAACATATATTATTTTTCAAGATATTTCATAAACATGCACGAGAGGGGAAAAAACTAATACACTTCAGAATAAACTTTACTTAGTCCAACTATATAACTTTGCATACAAAAACACAGCATTATGCACAAAATACACCAAAGTACTCTCATGTTATGTAGTAAATTAAAACTGCCATCAGACGGATTGTTTACTTAACATCTTTGTAACATACTGCATTTTCACAAAAAGTGCATCATTCCTCTATGTACATAAATTTAAAATATCATAAACTTTGGTTTCAGCTATGACAATAAACATTGGATACCCAGATTGATGCCTGTGAAATATCCTGAGTTTTATTATGCTAAATGTTATCTATAGACAAAAGCATATCAACTAAGCATCGGAGATCAGACACATTTTTTACAGACAATAAATATGAACAACATTACATCTGTAACGTGACGTGACAAATTCTCATTTACACAATGATGCCACAGTGCAATATTTTTAACAAAGTCTACAGGATTCATAATCTAGAATTACTTTCCTTTTTTTAAATAGAAATAGGCAGCTGTACACTTATTACACAGTGTTAATCTACAGGAAGAAAAATACATAACAATATTTAAAAAAGTTTCAGGGAAAGTGAACTTTGTGCAACAAGCATCGCTTTTTTTTTTTCTTTTCTTCTTTCCCAGACATCACTTCCAGACATCATCACACAACCACAAAAGCACTGTACAACAGCAGCGTGTAAAACACTGCATGAATAAAAATTCGGAGGTTAATGTGACACTACTGTTCAATTTTGGGGGAATATTTGACAAGGTGGAGAAATCATCTCATCTGAAGAATTTACAATGCCTGAAAAGAAAATCTAGAAGTTTTAGTTTTTTTTTAAAAAATATTCAGTATTTTTTCAGAGCTCTCAAATTTAACTCATGAAGAACAAATTTCACATAGTCATTGGTTTAAAACTTTTTCCCTCTTACAAAACATTTTTCCTTTTTCCAAAAAATGATGTTGTACATTAAAAAAGAAAATGGTAAAATACTGGCACACTAGTTTTGAACACTTTGAAAGAGATGCCTTTCCCAGAAAAATGGAAGTCCAAAAAACATCTCTTTATACTCTTATGCGAGAGTTCATCAGTTTACTTTTGTTTTTGCTCAAAGCCTGAAGTCTATATTCATGATTCAAACAAGGCTAGAAGATCATCATTTCCAGTCGCTGAAGTGTTGCCACTACTACTTGTAGCAGTAGTTGATGTAGCTGTTCCAGATGTTACATTGCTTGTGCTGCCACTGCTACCTCCAGAGCCACTCAGCTCAGGAGGATCAAGGTATGATAAAAGTTCCATTGGATCCACCACACTTTCTGGCAGCAGCTAAAAAAGAAATTTAAAATTCTCAATTTCCTAAACAAATAGTTAAAAAATGTAAATTAATGATCTTTTTCAAAGAAAAAATTTTCAAATATGACTTAAAATACATACATCTTTTGCTTTTTCACCCTTTTCAATTCTAAGATTGAAATTTTAAATATTTTACTTTAAAAATCATACTGGGAGAAGAATTTATTTTCTTAGCCTTTATCACCTCACTGACATAAAAATCACATGGCTGTATGACTAACTAAATGGAATTCATATTCCCTAAATAATATGAAAAATTTTCAATTGTTCCCACATATACATACTTTTCTAAAACTTTATAATAATATTGTTTTATTTATTTTATAATACAATATGTTCCATATGCATTTATTTAATTTCTGAATTATATTAGTAAGAGATAGAAATAAACTAAATGGAACTCAAATTTGCAGCTGGTTCATTGAGGAAATCACTTTAACAAACTTTCCATTCTAAATCCTGCAGTTTTTAAAGGCTGACTGTATAACTGACTTGTTTTTAATACTCTTAAAATATTTAGAACTTAATGATGTCTGCTTATTTTAAACTGATATAAAAGAGAGAACTCGGTAAAACTGTAATGTCTTTCGAAGTAGACATCAATGTACAACTGGCTGACAGAAAAGCAAATGCCACAGTATATTTGTAATAGTACCTGCTCTATTAATGGTTAGAATGGAATAATCCATGATCTAAAGAATTTGAAAACAACTTCTGCGAAGTTATTTTTTCACATTAAAATTAAGTAATTGTAACAGGAGTACCCAAGAAGTGTGATGTATTGTAAAGCCCTTCCCAGCCCTATCAAGCAAATAAATCAGCTGCAGGTTGCTATATATACACCAGAATACTGTCCAGGAGGATTCTACAGAAAGTGTCACTGCATTTTTTCAGAGTGCTGGCCAAGGTTACATGCCAAATATGAACAGCAGTAAGCAAGCTGATGGTCTGTCATTGGGGTATCGTTATGTATTAATATAATGCCATCACAGTTATACAACAGAATCTCTATAATTTTCCCATATTGTTGGGATTCTAATCAACCTATCATTTTCATTGTCATCTATAATGATATGATTTGTTCAATTTACATTTCAGTTTCCAAAACCCACTGTTCCTGTTATGAGACTTACAGGGCCTTAAACTCCTTAATCACAAGATACTGTTCTCTTCTTATTGTATATATGTAATGTCTGGAAGCATAGCCCATTTTCTTGAAGACAGGTATCAACAGGAAATAAAACTTCTGTTTTACAGCAATATTGCCACTAGTTAAATTCCAAACCATGTACATTTGCAAATTAATGTTGCCAATAAGGAAAGGCAAATGTTTACTTTTATGACAGATCCATTTTTCTCACCATATTAGGTTATCTACTTGTTTTCATTTTATCTATAGATAATCATTTTATTTGTGGATAAAAAGTTCCTTTTGCACGATGCCACTGTGTGTGAACAACATTATGTATACAAAAACTTAATGACAGCAATCTTTTTTCCAGTTCTGAACATTATAAAGACCATAATCACTGAAACAACTTCTCAGGCAAACTATCCAGCATGGGTTAAAACAAGCATTCATATAGCATTTAATTTCCTACTAAAGAAATGTGACAGAATGGTTACACATAACAAAAGATTCATGAAAACTGTGGAAATCTTTGTGTTTTGATCACTGCACACCTTTCTTCCCCTCAGCATTTTGAAAGAATAAGTATATATATATTTACTAAAATACTTTATAAGGAAAACTGGCTCATATACACATGGAGAAAACTATGAAACAGCCCATATACTCAGCCTGTTCACTTGGAATTGAACCTAGGTCAAATTACCAATGTTTATCCACTTTACTGCTCAGCTGCTGGTAGAACCAGGTTTAAAGGAAGGGGAAAAGAAATTGAATAAGGGGACTCAAGCCACTCCCTTAATTCGAATTGACTTAAAATACAAATGTAACATACAAAATTTATTCAGTGTCTTTAGAGGCCTATAAACCTCAGGAAATACACAAACAGCTTTTATACAATAAATTACTCCTTTTTTCAGACTTGAATTCAAGTGTGAACAAACTCATTATATCCATCCCCCCCCTAAAAAAAATTGGCTGGACTTCAAAGAAAATGCATTTTCTCTTTTTTCCCAGCTAAGAAAAATACAAATGAACAAAATTTAAGCTGAGCTACAAAGTGCATAACTGAATACTGTGCACAATCTTGAATGAGAAAATTTGGCAATTCAAAAATTTACTTGCAAATGTGAAAACATATAATCAAGAAATATAAAAATGCTCTACTTTATTTATTTTATGTTTGTATCACTAAATTTTATTACACATAGAATATACACCATATTGAAAGAACAGCATCAGTCTACCCAAAATAACGGAGGAAACTTAGATACCTACTCATTCCAATGACCCACAAAATTATTCACAAATCAATCAGTAAAATTAGGAACATTTAATAATATATGCTAAACTTCAAGAAATTATGAGAGGACAATGGCACTTACATTTAATCCTTCTTGCCCTTGTCCTTCTCCTTCTATAACAGCTGCAGGGTCAAAATTTAAATCCCCAAGGTCTGGTGCATGAGAAAGTGAAGAATCACTATTAGTAGAAGCTTGACTATTTGGTTGACTGACAACAGTGCAGTTATTACCCCCACTTGCAGATGTACTGCTCTCATTTGGTTGTGAAGATGAAGATGGTGGTGGAACACTCGGTGGCCCTCCACTACCACCACCAGAGTTACCAGGTGTGTGAGGAGTATGAGGTGTATGTGGAGTATTTGGACCATGCTGCATTAGGTTTTGGCTTTGGTTAGATGATGGAGTTCCAGGTGTTCCTGTGCTAGTCTGATGCATAGATGAAGGCTGTGTAGATGCTGTACCAGTAGTTGAAGTAGTAGCTGGTTGCCGCAATGGTTGGTTTCCCTGCTCATGAAGATTAGGAAGTCCCATTTGCTTTAAAAAAATTAAAAAAGTGGATAATTTAAAAATCAATAAAACATACACAAACACAAATATAGCCCCCTAAAAAACCCTTATATCTGTCATCATACATGAGAGGCAACTGAACTTACTTCACTCACATTTTTAAACTTATGTTCTATCTAACAAAGAAAAATAGAAAAGTTCTTAAGGCTAATGTTAAATTATACCTTATGAGAAATTTGGTTCAAAGCTCATAATAATAAAACCACAAATATGTACTCATGAGTTTGCTAACATAAATTTACATGAAATGATATCTTACACTAAGAAGACCATATTATATTTGTTATATTTTCTGTAAAATATTTTGTAAAATTCTGTAGATTAATATCTTATGCAATAAAACATTAAACTAATAAAATAAAAGATAAGATTGAAAAAACTGCATTAAAGAGCTTGCTATACACACATTGCAACAAATTATTACATACACAAAATATTACTACTTACTTGCTCATGATGATTCAGAGACTTTTCCATGGCAGCCAAAGGATCCAATGAGGAGACACTTTCATTAAGGTGTGAGAGAGGGCTACTGAAATCAGTTGCCTGAGACTGAAATTCATAGCCACCGCTGCCATAATTAGAGCCATTTGGCATCATTGGGCCATTTGGAACAGGGCCATTTGCTATAGCTAATAGAAAAAAATATTATTAGTTGCATAATTAAACAGAAATCAAAGTAACTTCATAGTTTATCATCATTCATCATTCTGTATTGAAAAATTACAAAAATGAAACTAGACAAGAGCCTAATAAGTCTAATACATTGCTGGTATCATGGCAAAATCACAAATTTGCATCTTCCCTCTCAAATGCATTTTTTTAAGCTGTTTTCAATATATGATGACTACTAAACCAAAACAGACAAACTATATATTTATAATATTAACACATATAAATATTCTGCTGTTGTTTATCCTGAGTATCAGCATTAATTAGATTAGACTGATGAATAATCATGTAAGTGGGGACATTTAACCATCACTAATTGGTCATTTGTCATGTCACTGAAAAAAAATTACTACCATCACTGATGCCTCGAGCACCACCTAAGGTATTTCAGTTCTCCTCTTCTGTTAGGACACCATGCTCTAAAACATTCACGCCTTTCAGGCACCATTTGACTACCATACTTATTCGATACCTAAAATTATTTACACAAAAATCATAACCTTTAAATGTGGTTCTCCTAAAACGTGAATTTGCTAGATTTGTGACTTTAGCCATTTGATAACTAGCAATTACTGTACTGAGAGTTAGCATTAAAAAACAACATACCAAAAACTCAAAAATACAATAAATAACACCAACACTATATTAAAAGTATTTAAATTATTATTAAAAGATTTTTTACTTCTCAGATAAGACAAAAAAATAGTACATGCTACCATTCATTAGACTAATAATTAGTAATGCATTGACAAAATGTTATGGTTAATGACCATAATCAATAATGTACCTTTCTGGGGATAAAAATAGTTTTATGTCATAAACGTGAAACTATTTTTAATCCCCCTGTCTAGTGGGGGGGGGGGGGGGGGGGAGACTGTAGTCATGAAAATTTTTTTAGCCTTAACCCTCAACATACTATAGAAATTACACCAATTCTATATAATTAAAGGGGTTGCTTCTTACAACAGGACTCTCTTCTTGGAGAACGAGATATGATGTATCTCTATACAAAAACATGCAGTGCCATTTTTAACAAATTAACATTTAACAAGCAAAAAATCAAGGAATAATTGTGGCTCCCTCTATTCAGCATAAACAAAAGATGAAAAAAATCAAAATTACAAAGTAAGGCTTCTTAAGGAAATGAACTAATTAAAATTTTATAAACTTAAGTCAACTGACCATGAAATATGATGTTAAGATTCAAGGCAAATAAAAAAAATCAACTAAGGAAAATATAATTTCCTTGTGAGGGAGAAGGGGGACATAATTTTAGAGGAAAAGTAACAATTTTAATTATTCTGTACATAAAAAAAAGTCTAATACTGTTCAACAACTCTTGTCATAAAAAGATTTACCATTCACATAACAATTAGATAACTATTAATGGCATTAAGATATCCCTTATTTAGCATGCTACCAAAAATAAAACACAGACTTAATGAGCTGATAGAAACAAAAATTCCACAAGTCTTTTCATAAATGTTTTAAAGAATATATATATATATCAGGTTATCCCTCTTTAAATAAATTTTATGTATATCTAAAGTATTGTAATCATAATAATACTGAACATTTATGCATAGCCTGAGTTTAATCTAATATACATACATGCAAAGATATTAAAAATTATGCTAGGTACAGAGCGTATGCTAAACTAAGTAATCCTTCAACAAAGAAATTAATCATATCTTTGCATAAACATTTAGTTGTGATTTTCAAACAATAAATAGCATATTACCTAAAGATCTTCAGATTTACATAACATTTGTCTTAAACTCTTTTTCAACTACTCTTACAGTAATAAGAATTCTTCAGAATTGGGGGGGATAAAAACAATACAAAGGAAAGAATTGGTTAAATGCAGGATGAGTATTAAACACCCCTATTTATTTTTTAAAACAAGACAAAATACAACACTAATTCATATGTACACAAAACATCAACGAAACTATACATAAAGGTAAAGATTAACACAAAATATATATTTTGAGCACATTACTGAATAAATTTTTTCTAAAGACTAATAAAATCACGCATATTTAGAACGAGTTTTTTTTTTTTTTTTTTTTTTTCCCCAAGCAGGTGTTATTTAAGAGTTACTCATGCACAGGTTTCCATTTTTAAAGCATGCGTTGCTGAAATGCCAAAATTTTTAACAACTTTCAGGATAAAACCGAGAAAGACGCATAAAATTATGCACTGACTTCCATCTATGAAAAGTATGATTTCAAAGTCCTGTGATGTCACTCCCAGCTTGACAAGTGAAGGGAGAAAATGATGAATTCTTGGGCCTGCAATGCTTCACATGATGTAACTCACAGAAAGTGCTAAAAATGCTGACCACTGATGGCAATGGAAGATGTATTGCATTATTGGATTATTATCATTTAACATAATACAAAAAAGCCTAGTCATTTGAATATTGTCAAAGGCGAAATGAATGCATGCAGCAAATTCCTCTGTAGTGTTCAAAAGTCCAAATTAATTTATAGGTTTCAAACATGGTCAGACAAAAAAACTCAGCTGGACTGCACCGAAAAGTCTGTAGCTTAGAACTATCAGCCTAAGCAGGAAAGCTGCCTTCATGGGGGACTTTCTAAAGAAAAGTAGCTCATATTCATCTTATGCATGGGGAATATTAGGAAAATTCTCATGCAGCTAGTTCTTTCACTGGGATTTGAAGCTTAGTCAAACTATCAGTGTTTAGCAAATTTAACACTCAGCTGCTCGTGGGCCTCACACAGAATGTCACTGAGCTTAAGTTATAGGTGCCTTTCTTCATTCAGCCAACCAGAAGTCACAGAATTTTCAAGTTATATATCTCCTGAATATAAGACCATTCTAATGTCATTTTCTTTCTTCTCATTAGTCAAAAATATGTATTTCCTCTCTATATGTTTGTGCATGTGTGTTTATATTGATACATACAAAGGTATTCCAGTTTCCACCAAAGGAATCAGTGGTTCATATTTATAATTATATCTCCATGCTGCATTTATTTTCATACACATAAACACGGAAATGAAGTTTCACATACCTTACAAAATTTGAATAAAGCATATTTTCATTCATAAAAATTTTTGAATATAAACATAAATAAAAAAGTAGCCAACATATTTAGTTTCTGTTATGACAGCTACTAAGCTTTGAATTTCCATTTTTTCAAAATCTCTTCCAAAAAATTAAAACTTTGGCACTCATATAAAGCTTGATTGCAAGCTTCAAAATAAATTCTAAATATAATACAAAATTTGGTAGTCCTTATTTAATGCTCTGCTCATTAACGAACAACAGTATTAAAAAAAAAGAAACCTGATCAGCAGCACAAAAATAAGAAATACTGAACATATGGTAAAGGAAATTGAAGTTATTTGATAAGGATTAGAACTCCATTTGAATATTACTCCATAATAAATGAGGTTTTGATATTCTTGAGCATTAAAAAAAGCTCAATGGGTAGAGGCTTACATTGCATATCTGGAGGAGGCAGAGCAGAATAAGGAGAAAGTCCTTGACCCATTTCCCAGGCTGAAGTAGTAGGCATTGTCATGCTACTGGGCGACATGGCTTTAAACCGCTTCTGAGCACCGCATGCTTCAACTAAAGTTATTAAAAGAGTAAGATAACTAACTCATTTAAAACACTGCACATTCTATTTAAGCATTAACATAATTGTTTTAGGACAATGTTTCCTATATGTATTTCAAAACAGATTATTAGTCAATTAATTTAAAGTCCTTTTCATAACTGGTTGGTAATATTAGAGTTATTTTCTCCATTTTGTAAAAACCTCTCCTGTTAGTAAAAGCATAATCAACGTAAAAAAATAAAGGGCATGCAGTGTTAGAGAAATGTTGCAGATCTTTCTCACAAAGCAAAGCAAAGTTAAACAGTTAAAAAAAAATGCTAATTTACGATAAAAGTGATTTAAAAATGAAAATAAAGAGAATGAGAAAATGGACGTAAGGAAAAAGAAATGACTGAATTTGAAAACAAAAGGAAAAGAAATCCAGCTTTGTAAAAATGAAAATAACTAAAGAAATAATTCAAAAGACCCAACTTAAGAAAGATTATCCAATTTCTTATAAATATTAGCAGTCACACACATATTAAAAAAATCTACTTAAAATACACAACAAAAAGTAACCAATTATTAACATTTTAGAATAAACAGAATACAATATTGTGAAATTTGATTATTTACACACTCTTATTCAAACTGAAGAAATGCAGTTTCAAATATTTGTTTTATTAGCATACTAAAATTAAAAACCAAGACAAGAAGAATTTTGTTTTCCTTATGCTACCCCTTCCAAAATCAAATGGGAGAGCATAATTAAAGTCACAAGCTGTTTATTAATAACAGTAACAGAATAACAACACACTGGTTGGACACTTCTCTTATTTCAACAAAAATACAAGGGCGAGTCAAATGAAAGTGAGCCAATCCCCTCCTCAGCAAGAATAGTTCGGTCCATCATCTGCGGCGCATGTACAGAGACAGCCTTCATTTACATTCATTGTAGCACAGAGACAGCCTTCATTTACGAAAGTGGCGCGAAAGTGTGAGGTTAAAGTTCTTTAAGGCGCTCTTACACTGGGTTGAAGACGGTAGCGTGACATAATGGACGCTCCAAAAGAGGAACAGCGTGGTGTGGTCAGGTTTTTGACAGGTGAAGTTGTTTCCCAACATGAAATTAGTCGGCGTATGACTGCTGTGTACGGTGAACATTGCATCGCATTGGCCACTGTGAAGCGTTGGAGCAAACGGTTCAGAGAAGGATGTGAAGGTTGCAAAGACGATCCAAGACCGGGCCAAAGCCACCTTGCAATCACCCCCGACACAATTGCACACGTTGATGAGCTGATTAGAGAAGAACGGAGGATAAGCATCGATGAACTGGCAGAGCGTGTGATTATCAGTCACGGTTCGGTTCACACCATAATTCATGATCATCTCGGTTATCGGCTTTTGTGTGCTCAATGGATGTCCAAGATTTTGAACGACCGCCAGAAGACGGAGAGGTTCGGCGCTGCTTTGACTCATCTCATCCGGTATCACAATGAGGGTGACGACTTCTTGTCCGCAATTGTGACCGGAGACGAATCATGGTGCCACCACTACGTACCTGAAACACGCCGGCAAAGCTTACAGTGGAAACATTTGAATTCACCACCCCCGAAGAAAGCAAAGGCTGTCATTTCCTCGGGAAAGGTGCTATTGACTTTTTTTTTTCGATCGTCAGGGGCCATTACTGATTGAATTTGCTAAACGTGGAGAGACTATCAATAGTTCGCGATATTGTACAACGCTGGATCGGCTGCGTGTCGCAATCAAGAACAAACGACCTGGAAGATTGACGAATGGTGTGATCTTGCTACACGACAATGCTCGTCCCCACGTCGCTGATGTGGTTAAGACACAACTGGCAAAGTTCAAGTGGGACACGCTGCAACATCCTCCATACAGCCCAGATTTGTTGCCATGCGACTTTTCGGACACATTTTCGGGAAACTGAAAAAACATCTCAAGGGTACCAGATTCGTGTCGGACGCCGCCGTGAAGGAGTCGGTTACAGACTTTTTGAATCGACAGCCCAAGGAGTTTTATGAGACGGGGATCACGCGGCTCATTTGTCAATGGGATAAATGTCTCAATGTTCATGGAGACTACCTTTAAATAAAGTACTCTGTTTGTCATATATTCGCATTGGCTCACTTTCATTTGACTCGCCCTTATATAATATGAATTTGGAGAATATTTCATATCTAGATATAACTTGCTAAATGATTAACATATACTACAGGTAAAACAAACTAATTACTTTAGAAGTACAGCAAATAATTGAAATTGCAATTCCCTTTTTTTTTTCCCTTAATGATATTGCAACTATGTGCTAAAGTTAAATTCTATACATTTTTCAAATTTACAGAATAACAAATTTATAAAGACAATAATGTAAGAATGAACTCAACAGTAGCTTTGCATAATAACCATACAAAAACTAAATTTAATAAATAAACCATAAGCATTAAATATAAAATGTTTTAAAAATGCTACAATATTCATAGTATTTCACCTTTATATATTTTATTCATAGTATTTCACTTTAAATTCACATCTAGCTATAATTAAGCAAGCTGATATGCTGTTCAAATTATTTGTTCATAGTATGACTGTTAAACAGTGGTCATATGTGTGTGCGTCTGATCTCGGCCTTGCAGAATGGAACAGCCATATCATGCACACTGAGCAAGGAATGTGCATGTAGAGCAGCCATATCACACACACTTAGCAAGGAAATGTGCATGTGTGTGTATATACATACACATACACACATGCACATGCAGCCACATTCCTTGTGTATATACATACACACATATACAACAGATTGTTGGTCATTAAAATTGCTACAGCATGAAGGTGACATGTAATAAACATCAAATTTATATGAAAAGTAGTACATGCAGGGATATGCATGTGATTAGAATTCCAGTGCATGACCACAAAGCAGGTATAAGTAACATTATTTACACTGTGTATAAATGGAAAGACTGCATAACTGGTTTCTCATCTGGAAATCATACTTATATATTGCTTCTTTGTATAAAAGTCACAGCATGGCTCGTGTAAGAAAGAGGAACTCTAATAATCATGTAGTATGTGATTTACTGCTTTTAGTTCATTATTTATTTTTTAGATGGTGCCATTAAAATGGTATTTTTAAATTTAAATATGTCATTAAATGGAGTAAAAAGATATGATTAAAACAACAACCAATTTATTGGCAGCATCTAAAAATGGTAAATTACATGATTACTGAAACTTCTATCAGCATATGTCAAAATTCCCCTGCAGCAGGATTGGGGTGCCTATCAAGACTACAGTTTATCATTCCGATATATTGCTGCTCATACTGGTAAGGATCCCAAGACAGAGATGAATTTTGAAATCTCAATGGATCCAGGATAGCCATGCTGAATACCATGTAGGATCTCAGTGGCCTCGGACCACTAACACCTTCTTCGCCTTGCAGAACAGTACAGCCACATCATGCAGAATGAGTCGGTAACAGAGCTCCTGTGCAGAATGAACGGTGTTCATATGGACAGTGCAATAACATCCACAGCACCAAAGACTGTCAACACAATGACTATTGTTCTGGCCTCTCTTGACACCTACAAAGGCATGCTTACAGTGGTGCCACAGACAAAGGCCATTGGAGACAAATGTAGCACCATTTTGTCTTTTCAGATGAATCCCAGTTCTGTATATAATATCATGATGAATGCATCCATGTGTGGAGGCATGAAGGAGAACAAATATTGCCAACTTTTATTTGTCATTGTCATACAGGTTCAAACAAATATTGCCAACTTTTATGCTGTGCCACTAAACATCCTGGTTACTTTGATTGCATAGCCGGTAATGTGAATATTTCTGATATATTAAGGGCCATGGCTGTGCCCTAATCCTCGAGGCTTGCGCAATGCCATCTTTCAACATAAAGCATGATCACATAATGCCTGTGCTGTCCTGACCTTCCTCGATACAGAGAGTGATTGACGGTTGCCAGCACATTCTCTAGATTTTTCACTCACTGAAATATCTGGTTATGAGTTGCCGAGACTGACATACTGTGTTACTACAGTTGATAAACTATGACACAGAGCCAAAGTAGCCATACCTGTCATCCAAACTCAGTTCAGCTTGAATTACCAGAGGCCATAGCTCTGTGCACTGAAGTCAGCATACTGTGTAACCCAAACCATCTACAAATTTAATATGTCTTCCTGCTATTATACTCTGTACAATAAAAAAAGATAACTGCTATTCATTTTTCTTCCAGAGGAAGCAATTTTTAAAGGTGAGCAGTGATAAGATACTTTATAAGTTTGATAAGAAATACTAGAGAGAGCACTAAAATACGATATCATATGAAACTAATAACGATAAGAAAAGATATGCCTAAGATCCATTATAGAGATTAATTAAATAACTTTCATGAAGCACAATGATCTTAAACATAATTTAATTGCCAGACAGAACAACTATCGAATATGCATAACAATATATGTTTGCTTAGAAGGCACTTAAATTTTGTGCAAAAGAACAGTTCTGAATTTAGCTTAGTTCTGTTTGAAATTCTGTTTATTATAATTAATGTTGGAGTATTAATTTTACGACACTCTTAAATGTCATCATCTAATATTTTCTTTTCTTCAAGGTAGTTCGATATTCTTACAAACTTATCATTACATGCATCTTAGTTTCTTATTAAAGCATTAAAAATAATAGTAACATCAAATATTTACAATTAAAAAGGTATGTTCAGTTTTTCATGACCCAATCTTAAACTGAATTTAATTTTCACACAGTCTAAAGAAAGCATTTTTTAAGTTTCATAACAGTAAGCTGCAATCTGTCTTGTGTTCCAAGCATAAAATAAAATATTTCACATGACACTGAAAATGAATGGTAAATAATTTAGTGCAAAATTGATTAATAATTACAGTCGATGCTTTTCCAAAGCATTAATTTTGCTTGAAGATTTCCATCAAAATTTGAAGCATGTATGTAGATACTTGTTTCTGAAAAAGTTTGGTTTATTTAACTATGGCAAAGCAATCAGCTATCTGCCTAAGGGGAGGGATGCCTTCATGGAGGACTTTCTAAGGGAAACTGGCTTCCATAAATGTTACACATGTGGAAAACCACACAAATGCCCATGCACCCAGCCTGTTTGACAGGATTTAGACCCCCCCCCCCCGACTGAATTACCAGTGTTCAGCAATTTTACTGCTGGGGTCTTGTTTCTGAAAAGGAATTGATTCGTTTTTTGTCATTTAAAATGCAATTTTTAAATTCTAGTTTCAGCATTACAATTTGTTTTTAGACACATACCCATGGCAAAAAATTTCAATCTGATTAAATATAAAGTTTATTTATTTAAAATTTAAAATAAATTTGTATATGCATTAAAATTTTATTTTGCACTGATTTCACATATATAGCTAAAAAATGAAAACCACAGATAAAATAAATGGAGATTAAAAAACATTAAGATTCAATGCATCAATTCACTGTAGACATCTTAATATCAGATTTCATAAATTTGACTCTGAGTGACTTTCAAACAAAAATATGCAAGGAATAACTTCATGTTATTTTATGGATAAGGTAATATCATATACTCTAGCTTCTCTGTAAAAGAAAAATATAGTTTCAAATAATGCTTATAGTGAATTTTGTGCCCTCATGTACAACAAAAATAAAGAAAATATTTTACACAATAACAGCTTTAAAACATCATTTGACAGTGCAATTCAGAAAAACTGTACTCAATCCCCAAACAATTTAAGAATTGAAGCATTCTAAATGTTGCTGCTATAAACATTTATTTGCTGTTTTTTCGCATTTTTTCACTGAAATATGATTTTAGGTAAATGATACAATTCAATGATTATTACATAATATTAATAATAATATTCAACATAATTTTAAACTAACCACCATCATTCTCTTCCTTAACAGCTTTAATTGGAACAGGCTTCCAACTTGCAGTACCATCAATTGTTACTTCTTCTACATCAGAATTGCTTAAATTTGTCAAAATGCCCCAAATATACTGGTCCACTTCCAAGCCTTCAAGTAGAGCCGGTTTACTAGAACATAAAATTTCAACTAAGTATAAGATTTTTCTATTTTGAAAGTATACACTATTTCTGTTAATGATTCTGTTATCAGTTTCTTACAAAATATCAAAAAAATTTGTGCTCATTTTGGTTATATATTAACTTCATGCTTATATATAACCAAAATGAACTAGGATTAAAGCCTCTTGAGAAAACGATTTGGATTACTCAAGGTCTATGTGAAAATCTGCATATTATTTCACTTTTCCTCTATGAATAAAGCACTTTTAATAAATAATCAATAAAGCAATCCTCTATGAATAAAGCACTTTTCCTCTATGAATAAAGAATAGGAACACAGCTTTTATTATACTAGAAGCTCCCCAACATAAACGTAATGTTTCATAATATTTCAATATTTACTTTTAATCTTAGAGAAATACTCATTGTGCTTCACTGTTGATTTAATTTCAAAGTGTTCATGCTTAATTAATTCAATGAAAAGGTTTAGTGTTAGGATATGTGAAAAGAAGATGATTAAAAAAAGGATCTGGCAAATGATCACTAAAGTATTATTTACTGGTATTCTGCTTAGCTCACAGATAAAATGACACATTTTAGGTAAATGTAGATAAAATTCAAAATAAAGCTTCTCAGGTTCACAGTGCACTTTCCAAACAAACTTTTTAAGTTGAAATTTTCCAGATATATCCCTTAAACATATAAAACCTGCTTTGATTTTTTTTTTTTTTAACTACCAGACATTTTAAGTCCTTTGCTGACAAACATGCTAAAAAAATATAGTTCTCAGTTAACATGTCAATGAGATAACAAATTCATACAAATTTACTTGTATAATCCACATACTTTGTTCCTGAATAAATCCACAGCAGATGGCTTGAATTCTTTATATAAATATTAGAATAACTGCACAAAATTAGACAAACAGTTATCTTTGTATCATTACCATAGTATAAAATAGAAACACTGCTATCATTCAATAATGATCACCAGCTGATGGATAGGCAAGAGCATCTTGGTTGTCTTTGTAACTTGTGACGGTTAACGTTACCTCTTCCAAAAAACAGGTAATTAGGATACAGGTCATCAAACATTCTGAATATTTCCTGTGCTTTGTTCCTGAGAATCTTAAAAACTAAACCAACTAGCTACTTCAACAAAAATGAAACAAGATCCAAAGCAGTACCTGTTTCCTTTATCATCTTGTAATGCACATGAGAAACAAATAAATTACAATAACATATTCTCTTAAAAGATTAGTATTTTTATTGTACAATGAATTAGACAGAAATTTTACCAAATAGAATAATATTCAAATATAAAACCATTTACGAGTGATAATTATAAAAGCAGAAAATAATTCTCAGGATATTTAGACTTCATTTGTAACTACTGCAGATGTAAGCACAAATGGAATAATGGCTCTACTAAAGATACATATGAAATAATGGCCTTTTAGAAGACAGTATTACTTAGTGGCCTTTAGAAGATTTTTATGACTAAGAATTATATAACTGCTTTTGCTGTATCCAAAAATATGATTTAATGATACTGCTTTCTATGCTACTGAAAACTCTACCTCAGAATAAATTAAAGTATGGTGAGAAAATATAAAAGCAAGCCGCTTGTTGGGCAATTAAACTTTATCTACCAAGCTAGAGCTGGTAACTATGTGAGTGTGCGCGCACATAACATGAATAAATTGTGTGTAATAAAAGATCAAAACTAGCAATAGCCACTTAATTCCCCCTTTCCATTCTAAAAATAATAACTTTTTCCAGACTGCATCATTTCTAAATGATTAGTTAATATCATACAACTTGCATAATGCTAACGACATGACTTATTCAGAACTTAAACCAAAGCTTTCTCTTAATAAGCTGCCATACTGGAATAACCACACACTTTTGCTTTTAATTTAACTCTCTTGCCGTTAAATCCCTGGCATGCTGCTTTTCTTCCTGTCGCAATAAAAGAGTAAATGTTCTTGAATATGCACTACTAGAATGAAAAGCAAGTTGTGGCGCAAATGTCAACTGAAATAAAGATGAATATTTAATCTTCTGCAGCTGCCAAGTTTGCTTTTCGATATGGTTCAACGTTCAATGCCATCAATATTGCCAAGTTCGTTTTATTACACACAAACACACCACAAAGAAACAATTGAAATTGGAGAAAACCGAATAACAATTTTTACTTCATAATAGTATAGGACAAACATTGCTGCTTAACTTAATGGAGGGGATTCATTATGAATATCTTTACCTTGTTTTACAATTATTACATTTTACTCTACAAAAGTGTTTATTGTTAGTATTTTTTTTAATCGGAAAATGACTTAGGTGGGTGGGGTTAGAATGAATAACACACTGCACATGAACTCATTTTTTGTACAAATAAATGAATAAAAGTGAAATAAATCTGAAGTTGGGTTTCTATACTTTGACGTTAACACACGCTGATACATACTTGCTGAAAAATATTCACCAACATCAGAAAACAATTTCTTTGATTAATTACATATTTTTTGGAGTGTTTCAAAACAAAATATCTGGTTTTAATGAAAGTTTCTCACCACCGCAAATATTATCTGCACAAACAGGTCATGTTGGTGTGCTTAATCATATTTTGTCAAGCGATTTTTGGCATTTGAAAGAGACTTGCTTAAGTACAAAGTGTCTGAAATGCACCTATCACACTTCCAGATTAGAACTATCATTTACTTCCAGTTTTGTTGCAAAAAAGTCAGCTACAGAATATCCTCAAATCATGTATATAGCTTAAGGTACTAATGCTGTATCATATGACACTGTGAAGGTTTAGTACCGAAAGTTCAAAAGCAAGGACTGACATTCAAGAAGCACAGCACTCTGGGCAGCCTACTGTTGTTGATAAGGCTCACCTGAGAGAACTTGTAGAAGAAGATCAGTATGCAACCACTCAAGAGCTTGCTAAGGAGTTAGATGTTACTGCCAAGTCCATTAGTCGCGCTATGCATCACATAAACTTCACGACAAGTTCAGTTGCTGGGTACAGCATGAGCTGACTCAAGCAGATAAGGACAGATGTGTTCGAGCCTGTACTAATCTGCTCAAATATCAATGCAAGGATAAAATTCTGGACAGGATTTTCACTTGTGATGAAAAGTGGCTTTACTTTAACAACGCGGGTCAAAAAAGGGGATTGGTCTGTGTAACTATGAGCCTGTCGGCAGCACGGCAAAGTGCACTTTGACTAACAAAAAGATCATGCTTTGTACATGGTGGGATTGCCATGATCCACAAAGAGTGCCTAGAAAAAGGGTAAAAACTCTCTACAATAAGGAGTACAGCGAGATGCTAGTCCGTGTTGTCACTGCTATCAAGGGAAAATGTAAAACTGATTTCTGGTGCAAAAGAGTAATATTCCATCAAGATTATGCACAACAGCATGTGTTTGCATTTACCGACTGGACTTTGCATGGACTCAAATGGGACCTTTTGTCCCACCTACCATCCATATAGCCTCTGACATTGTTCCTTCGGGCTTCTACCTTTTCTCACACCTGCAGCCACATCTTGCTGTGCAATCTTCGATTCTGCACAGGGTGTCCGAAATGAGGTTGATTTGTCTTTGGACTCGCAGCCATCAAATTTCCGAGCAGAAGGCTTTGAAAAACTAGCAAAACGTTGGCAGAAAATCATAGATTTGGGTGGTGATTACTATCCGCACTAAAGGTACTGCTTTCATGCTTTTTTTTCCTAACTTTATTAAAAATGTTTTTTTGGCAGAAAACTTTCATAACAACCAGATATTAAAAAACTCCAAATGCACTTTAAAAAGTATACATAATTTTGTACTTACTTGCACACAGGACACCTCCAAGCTCCCCTTTCACAATTAAGTTGTAAATATGATTCAAGATCAAAACACTGAAACAGACATAAATGTATAAATGTGTATGTAAATGTATATATCATGATTCACAAATTTATATTACAAATAAATGTAAATAGATAAATCTGCAAAAATTTTTAAAAAAAAATACATTTCCAAATAAATGATCAAAATTTATTTTACTTTTTATGCTGAAGCTTTTAAGCTCTCTTTTCCTGGATTTATAAGATTGTTAGAATTTAATAACATAATTATTAGCTTGATCAAAAACTTTTCAGATACAAAAATAACATCATATTCCGTAGTAGGATATGAAAAACACATGTAGCTTTAATTAACATAAATTGCATACTTATTTTAATGACAATTGTTAGCATCTCACACTTGAAATTCACTTCATTTACTTTACATACACATAATTTAGAAACTTCATGAATCTCACTAAAGAGAGATAATACAACAAATTTTGTTAAGAAATCAAAAGGCAGTAAATATGTATAACATACTTCGCATATTTAATATAGAAATGGTTCTTTTATGTTATCAGAGCCCATTAACCTACAAATATAGATGTTAACACAAAATCTAAAAAGAGTGCAATAACTATTTTGTTAAATCCACAAACACAATACAGATTTTACATATGCTTCAAAAAGCTTCCTATATGATTCAACAAGGATGAATACATTTGCATTTTCTAATGAATATGAAGCCACATAATGAATTTAATTGGGAAAAAATTTAGATGCTAGTAGGCAGTGCCATACTGACACTTTTTTCATCTAAAAAATTATCAGCAAACTCCCTAAAAAAATTGAAATATCTAGGAGTGAAAATTACTGGATTAATGTTCATTCTCCCCATTCACAATTTCATTTCATTATGCAATATATATAAGTTAAACAAATATCACATCTACTACATATCCTCAACAGAACTTCGGAAGAAACACCTCGGCATATTTTCAGTTTCGAAATACCCAAATGGCTGATTCCGATGCAAAAACTAGTTCTCTGGGGAAAAACTACAAGTGACACATTTAGGAGAAATATTTTCATCTCAATTGTAAAATGTCCCACACAGCTTGGTCAAGACATTCCAGAGAAGCACGTTTGACTAGAAACCCTCCAACACAGTTTATCATAGCAACACAATGAATTAAGCACTGTGTATTAGAGCTTTCAAAATTTACTCTAAACTATTGCTGTTATTGTTTAAGCAAAGGGTTTTATTAAATAATATCACAATTACATCATTATGCGTTTTAAAATTTTTGATCACAAATTTACAAATAAATTTTCAATCAGCATATATCACCACAGAAAATAAAACCCTCAAACTAAACACATCCCTTTTCAAAACAAAATTAACTATCAGTGGCATGCGATTAGGGAAATTTCCTTAAAAAGAGGTTCCCAAAAGTTTTAAATTTTTGTACTACACAAATAAGAATAAAAAATATATGTACATCATGTACCAATATACGTATCCAAAGGGATGCTACTTTAAATCTTTAGTGCAAAAATCATACCATCAAAAACAACAGTTTGAGAAACTATGTCCTATAATATTAATAAAAAATAAGTAAATTATACAACAGTAATTCATGTTTTATAGATGTAAGATGTGAAATATGCTGGATTTTTGCATAGTTACCTTTGTATTTTGAGTACTAAATACCTAAAATAATTACCTGTATGTGTTTGCATTCTTGACCTCTGGCTGGAAGTGTAATCCTCTTAAAAGTAATGGGACATTTGAGAGATACTTTGATTGCTGTTTGCTCAACTCCATCTTCCATATTAAGAGCATTATTAGATGCTGCTGCACTAGAAAAGTTGCGCTTAATTTTTGCCACACAGTGATCTGCTGGAAGCAAGCGTTTGCGCAGTAAGCCTTGCAACACAGAGCGAACAGTGGGTCGATGAACAAGTTGCAAAAGGAAAAGATGAGACTGAAAATAAAACCCAAAATTTATTTGTAACTTTCTATCTAAATATATTAAAAAAGATAATAAGGAAAGAGTCAGTTAAATAACTCGATTAGGGAAGGTGAACCAAATAAATTTGCAGCTAGATACATAATATATAGTATATGAAACACCTTGATAAAATAATGCAAGTATTCAAAAAATGTGAAGTAGATAAGTTATCAGAAATAAAATTAAGAAAAAAAAAAATCCTCTAGAAGTATGCATATTGCTTTTACACCAATCAGCCTATAAGTAACTACAGGTAGATTAAATTTTCAAGATAAAAATCTTTTACTTTGCTAAATGGCAACATGCTTGAGAATTAACTGCCCAGCTGGGTAGAGAGTAAATTAATCTGAGAATGGCAAAACTTGAAGGTCACACATATGATAAATGACTTGATGAATAATAACACAAATGGTCCAAAAATTCAAAAAACTGTGAAGGTTGTTTCTAATTTCAATAATTATTAAAATCTCTGCTACATGCATTCATATTCTTAGTGAGATATATTTATTTACATGGATCTTATCTTTGCAGGAATTAATGTCTTTCCTTCAAATTAAATCTTCAAGAAGGATTTCCATTTTCAAGCATTGAACAAATACACAGCTTACATACACACCAACAATGTTACCAGAAGGGCAGAAGAATACCCTAGGCAAATACTTTTGAATAGTATTAAATATACCAGCATTTCTGATCTTTTTTTAAGCCTGCTAACCAGTAAAATTTGTGAGGAAATTTTGCAGACTGGTGGACGTAACAAGTGTCAATTGTGAACACACTCTAGTGTTGTCAAATACTAAACTATGGATTCTAGATCCTAAAATTACATCACCAATGTTGTTAAAAAAAAAAAAATTATACAAAATGTATTATTATTATTTTTTTGAATAAGAAAAATTTTTAAATGTGGACAGGTAAAAATCTCTCGAAGACCGGTCAGCTAGACCAGCAGCTGAAAATTCCTGAACTATATTATTTCTAGATGCTCATATTATAGGAAAATATAAGTTATTACAAAAATAAGTCTTAATTTTTACAGATTTAATTTATAAAATTTATATAACTACTAGAAATGAAATAAATTATGCAAAAGTTATACATTTAATTACACAAATTTTTATTTTCCATATGTTATAAAATGTTACACGATTCCTATACCAATATTTAATACACAAAATATATATTATAAATGAAACAAACTTTACAGCCTTCTTCCTTTAAAAAATTTAAATTCAAACTAACAAAAATGGGAAAACAAAAGTGTTGCAGAGCATTCATATTAATTAACAATTAATTTCCAGAAATTTTAGAACTAAAGAGTACAGGTGAAAAGTATATAACAAGAAAAATAAAATCCTTACAAGAAAAATGTTGTGTGAATGGCGTAATGCAAACTGGAATGTAAGATTTATGATATGTGATAGAGAACACGCCAAATTACTTTAACAGCAAATGTAATTATTAAAATTTCAAAGAGAATACTGTTTAAAAAAAATATCTCTTTATTTTAAACCTCTTAACGCTACATTACATACTCTTTAACTACATAAAACACTTATTTCTTGTTAAATACAAATAAAGCAATGTATGAAATTTCATCTGTATTTTAATAAATTTAATGGTAGAAAGAGCTTTGCAGAAACTTACACAACAACATGCTGTGACTGTGATTTGTATTGTATTTCGGCCTGGCTGGCAAACTTCCTTGAGATAAAGAGGCTTATGTGAAGCCTTGTTTTCTCCACGATCAATACTCAGGGGTGTTGCATTTACCGAGACTTGAACGGAAGCTGGCCAATTAGTATTCATCTGTCGATCTTCATGGTGGAAGCATTTCAACTGTAATTCTAAATCTGTCCGCCACATAAGTGTCTGATGCACTGATGGCTTCAAGTGGAAGACATGATTACTTACAGCTAAATTGTGTTCCAACCTGAACGGAGCTAAGATGATACCATCTCGGACGGGAAATGTAAGCCGTAGTTCGTCGTCTTCTGCAAAAACACACATGGAAAAACTTAAAAATCCACATTCCAAATGATATACATATACTGTTTACATAATAAAAATAATCTATTCCATATATATATAAATAACTACACCCTTAAACTGTTGCATCAAAAATCAAAATTAAGAGAATATAAAAGTGTAAATTGAAGTATTAAATATAGAGTCGAAAATTATTATTTCGTGAATGTTGAACTCAGAATATTGAAGTAATGCTTTAAATACTCACATGAGCACAAATCACCAATGCAATTTAAAATATTATGTAAATGTTTTTTTAAATGGAGTTTACAAATTTTGATATATATGTCCATATAATTCAGATTTTAAGTTAAATAAATTTTTTACGATTTCGAAAAAACTTTTAGTATGACTGATGTTTTTAATTTTCCTTGAGAACGAGAAGTATTTTAAAGATAGATTTTGAATTGCACAGTTAAAAACTAAACAGAAAAGATAATAATGGTCATAAATAAATAAAATTAAAAGAAAAACTATGCAAGATTTCTTAAGAAAATGCTATTACTCTTATTTGCACATACTGTCTGTCTATACAACACATTTGAAACAATATGAAATAAAAATGTGGCGTGGGTTGGCAAAACATTCTATTTATAGACAGATACAATTACATGTAAGTAGGCTATTATCATACACTAGTTGATAACTGGCTATCTGGGAAAGCTGATTTTTACAGATACTAAGGTGCAAGAGTACTAGGTAAAATGGCTTGTGTACGATTTCAGCACTTTATACTTCACAAGATGCAGAATTTGCATTTTTGCATGACGCAGAAACAATAATACATGCTCCCATGCATTTCAAAACCATTCATCTTCATAACAGAATTTCAATAATTCACGCATGCCAAAGATTACGCAGATAGAGAATTTTGTAGATTCTAAGTTTTTACTGAGTGTGGTTTACATTTTCCCATTTCTAATTTTTACATTTAAGTTACAGTATTTGCATATAAGTAATCAAAAGGTGTTTATCTTATGAATTACTTAAGATTTATTTAATACAATACTAATATATTTACAAATTCATTTTCAGACAAAAAATAAAGTTATTACATTAGGGAAAGCATAATATGGGAAAAGAAATAAATGATAAGAAAATAGTTCAATTCTCAAAAGCCAACAATTGAACTCATCCGATTCTGTTTTGCAGAACATAATACATAGGCTAGTAATGATTAAGTTTGTGAATTTAAATTTTCATTGACATGTGTTATCTTTCTGCTAAAACATTTTTTAATAAGTAGTATCTAAAGCAGCTGCTATGTATTTTTCTGAGCAGTTCCCCAGTTGAAAGTCTTTAGTGTTATAGCTGACAAAAACTAGTCACTCATACGCTTTTCATAATTTTGCCAGCATTATACTTCCTTTTCTCAAGTTTAATTTCATCAGTTTATTCTACTCAGTTTACACTGCCTATTGATCTGCTGATGGAGTCTTGATCTGCATTAATTTAATATATTTTAAGTTCCTGCAATAAGAATAAGTACTTATGTTTTCTGCATACATTATTTTCACTGTTAATGGTATTTTGAAAAATGACACTTCCATAATATTTCCCTAAGAAAATTATAAGTTAGCTACATCATTTCCTAAAGTGAAAGTCTGGCTTCAGTGAACAAGCAAATTTTGCTGGAGGACTTAATCTTTCTAAAGACCTGTATACATGACAGAAGGCACAGACCTAAACAACTATCTCTTGAGGTCTTCACTAGTCCATCTACAGAGGGAAACATTTTACCAATGCCTGCACCAGGAGTAATGACCATTGACCAAAACAGGATATAATGTTACGGAAAATTTATATATGGCGACAGCCAATGAAATTGCATATGGAAAACACATGTGCAAAACGCAATTGTGCCTCTGAATCAGCATTTTGCTTAATAAAGAACCAAACTGATACCAAATTGTTTGGAGTTTTTACCATTATTTCAACAAATTTATGAAGTGACATTTATTTCCGATCATCATTTCCAAATAATTTCTTTATAAATGAAGAATATTTTTTCACTGCTAGCTTGCAAATTGCAATAAGCAATTTGTTGCTATAAATTATACAGCTACATACTTTTTTTACTCTATTTTTTAGGAATACTTAAATCTGCAAAGTGGATCCTGCTTAAGTGAATTAATATATTCTTATGTTTTGTGAAGGCTAACAAAAAAAAAAAAAAAAGGGGGGGGGTGAATTTATCATCTGTTGACATTTGATCATTTTTACAACTCCCTACTGTTAGTGTTTTTTGTTTGTTTGTTTTTTCTTCAAATTTTTAGGTTAAGTATAGCTAGCTCAGTCGCTTACCACACTTGCATCGAATGGGTCTTCTGTACAACCCACGACCAAATTTTTTAAATGCATTAATTACATATCACTGAAATATGAAAAATGCTTACTGGGTGGAGGTAGTGGAGGTTTTGTTTCTGAAAAATTGGGCTTGATATCAGCATTAGGTGATAAATATGGTGGCACAACAGAGGCGGGTGTAAGAGGTGGTGTAGGATTTCCTGGAATTGGCAGAGACTGATAGTTCATATTCCGCTAAAAGTAAAAGTATAATTCATTTTGATAAGCTCATTATTTAAACTACATAGAGCACCGAAATGAGTTAAAATGATACACTGATTATAAGAAATTAATAAGATAAAATAAAAGGCAGACATTTAATCTATTTCAATCAAAATTTTTAACACACATGATTTATTCAATATTATCAACACTAAAAATGTCAAGACATGTGGACATAGGTTCACATAAATACCTTTTAAGAAATCATTTTTTATTTGCTACTTACTAAAAACAAATTGAATTATTTTAATATATTTTTTAAGCATTGAAGTTCCATATACAGTACAAAGTCCGAGATCTGGACGTCCAATATCCGGAATGATCTAAAATCTGGACCTTAAAGGCAACAACAAAAATTTTTTTAGGAATTTTTTTTTTATGCTTTATGCATGCACATTTAATTTTTTTTCTTCCTTAAAACATGTGGAGAGTCTCTATTCGTAATTTCCCTTCAAAACTAAATAAAATATCCCGTTACTGAAGAAACAATCATTTTAGCATAAATTTGGGTGATCAATGATTTGGCTCCATAATCTGCTTGGCATACATTTCAAATCGAAACATTCTACATTAAAACACCAATGGTTTTACAACTACTAATATTTTATATTCCTGACACCAATCTGGCAAATCATTATTCATTATATTTTGCTTTCATCACTGCATGTTTATCAACATATGACAACTTGACTAATGACTCATGCAGTGATGCTTAAATAAATTTTTTTATATTACTAATTAAATAACAAATAGTATGGTAGCCTTTTATGTTAACATTATGCTTGGTGATGAGTAAAGATTTAGGTTAAATGTGCTGAATGTTGACAAAGAAAAATTTAACAAAAATTTTTTTTCATATGCTAAAAATAAATTTTGTTAATGATACTCATAGGTTAAAAGATTACATTTAGTGCTATTCGAATTAAGATTAACTGATTTATTATTCACATAAACCCAGAACCGGCATCAGAGCTCTTAAGGCCGCACTGGGCGGCAAAATTTAGGGAAGACAAAATTTGTGAAATTTAGAGAAGCACCGAGTAACAAAAATTAAGGGATGATAAATTTTTTAGAATTTAGGGAAAGTACTGGGAGCAAAAATTTGGAACTTAGGGAAGTGCTTGGTAGCAGAATTTAGGACCCACAGAGACATCATTACGCAGTAAAATATCTAGCACTGGCCCTCAGTAAACTAACAAATAACGAAATTAATACAATTCAGTCTTAACTGTCTCTGTGCGATAGACGCAAAACAAAATTTAACGGAACAACTCATCTTTCATCAGCAATCTCATGCTACAATAGCTAATAATGTATAGCAGATGCTATTAAGCTAGGCTAAAATTATACTTTACCAATTACAATTACAAAGCACAATACCAATTACAAAAAATTTCAGTTAATACAGCAGATTGTGCTGTTCCTTAACTTTCTTGATTTTATTCAGCTTATTCTTTTTTGCAGGTTGTTATTATTACAGAAATTTTATGAAAATTAAAGTTTGAATTTTCGCTTATGTCGAAAACAGTTTCTAATTCTGGTGCTGCAACAGGATCTACAAAGTAAAGCATGTTTTGATGCCCATTAAACAAAAAATGGATATAGGTATATCCGTCTCAAAATCATGCGAGGAATATGGCATTTGAAAGTCAACTGTATATGACATAATAGAAAAAGGAACTTTATGAATTTTTTGTGAATTCTGACACCCCACTTGCAATAAATAACAAAAAAATCATTTGTTAAGCTAAAAGTGACATAAAAGTTATCATGACAAAGTAAGGATTGAATGGCTCAGGGCAAAATACTTCATGAAGAAATGAACTTAAAAATAGAGTGCACATATTCGACAGATTGGTTAACAAAATTTTAAAATTGCTGTGGTATAAGGCAAGCTAAAATTTCAGGTGCAAAAGCTTCATCTGATACTGAAGCTGCTGAAGTATTTGCAGATGAATTCATTGAACTCATTAATAGTGAAATGTTATCTTCAGGACAAACTTACAATGCAGATGAAGCTGGTCTTTTCTGGCCATATGTACTGCAAAATACATTGGCAACCTCTACAGAAACAGCTCCAACTGGTCTCAAAGATTCCAAAGCTATACTAACAATTTTAGCATAACAAATGCTGCAGGAATACGCAAGTGTAAACCTTTCCTAATCGGAAATAATAAAACAGCATGTATGACACAAGCATTAATGAATGATTGGTTTGAAAATCATTTAATACCCAAGGCTTGGCAAAATTTGGATTCGATTGGTTTACCTGACAACGTCAAAATAGTCTCAATTCTAGATAACTATTCGATTCATATTTTACTTAAAGTTTGAAAGATAATGTATTCGGATTACTCTTTCTTCCAAACTCTATGTCTATCATTCAGCCTATGAATATTGGTAGAGTGCACGCACTGAAATGCAAATACAAAGTAGCATTTTTAAAATCCATGTTAAATTTCTTGAATAATGGCAAGGCTATTCATGAATTTAAAAAATAGTTTAGCATAAAATCTGCTGTATGGAGCACTGCTACATCGTGCAAGGATGCGTCTTCAGAGACTTTAAAAAATGCTTGGCATAATTTATGGCCAGCTACCACATTTCATGGTGAGAATGATGAAGACGATAGTGCAAATTTGAAAGTTTTCAGATATCGCAAACCAAAGGTGAAATTTTCCAATTAACGGATAAAGAAATGTGGAGAAGTGCTGAATAATAGTCTCCAGAATTGAAAAACACAAACGCATTATTGCAAAAAATCGAAGCAACTTAAACAATTTACATTCAAAGAAATGTTTAATAAAATAAAGATACTTTAAAAAAAAAAAAATTTTTTTGATACGCTTTAGATCATAAAAACTTCATTATTTCATATTTTTAATTTTATAATTTATACATGCACATCTTACTAGATTTAAACTGTTGATCTAATATCCGGAATTACTAAAGTCTTGACGAGTCTGAATCTCAGACTTTGTACTGTATAATGTTTTTGTAACTGACTTTCACACATTCTGAGCTCTCTACAGCCAATATTATTCAACAGAAAGATACTTTAAATAGGACATATGATGGGTCAGGGAGAAAAAATTAGGGAAAGAAGAAAATAGGGTACTTTCTGATTATTTACATTAATAGCATATTGGAATAACTTTAAAAAAAAATTCTTATGTAGGAAATGCTATCTGTTTATTATTAGTCAGGAAGTTAACAATGTTACATTTTCATACATCAAATATTCAACAACCATGACATATTGAACACATTTTCAAAAAATTCATAAAAATGTTCAAAGCTCAAAATGAAATACTACCTGAATGTTTGGCTGCGTATACTGATTTGTGTAATGAGGATCATACTGTGTTTGTGGAGGTGCACCATTGAGCTGTGACTGATGATAATAATGACTGGGCTGGTTGCCGTAAGGAGGAGCTTGAGGTCTAAGTGAGGAACGCATTTGTTGCTGTGAAGGATATGCAGCAGGAGACATTTGTTGCTGAGGGTTATACTGTTGCTGTTTACCATACTGTGCTGGTGATGGATTTCCAGGGTATTGAGAGCAGCAAACACAACCCTAAACAATATATAAATTGCCCAATTTTAATGAAACAGTTACAATTTTAATGAATTTTTAATTAAATGTTAAATGTCTTATCAGACTGGGCAACTTTTCGTTTATAAAAATCCAGAAGCTGCTCTTGGTGATACATTGCCTGCAGTAGCTTCTTCCAGAACAAATGAAACAGAGAAACACACAAGCATGGAAATCCAAGTCATCCTCCCAAATGATGACTAGCAACACTTTTTTATGCTTGGTTGCCCAGTCTAGCTATGACTTAAGCAAAATATTTTTTTTTATCATATATACACACACACACACATATACATATATATATATCTTCATAAGAAATGACCAGAAGAATGACATAAAACATCAAGATTAAAAAATAAAATCGAAAGGGAAAACATTAGGATAAATGAAATTACAGTTACACATGATTTCGTTAATGTCAGCACTTGTACAGTATTTAAGGTCTTATACTGAAATCTATTGAAAGGAAACAAAACAGAAGTTTTCATACCTAATATACATGAAGAATGACATATACCCCTTTTTACATAAATCTAACAAATTTCTTATGAATAATTTCAACAAAAATGACCTTACAGGTCTTCAATCCTATATATTTGCCTTGAGGCATCCAGAGAGTATAGTGATTAGGAAAGCCTACTATGGTACCATACAGCCCGGGTTTGAATACCAGAGAAGGTATACCTATTAGGCTACTGATTAGGTGCCACCACTTTTTGGCTTCAGGAGTGCCCAATGCTAAAAATGCAAGCGTGTGCCAATGGATTTTTCTTTATTTACCTTAAATCTAAAAATGAATTTTAGTCCTTTTCAGGAGACAAATTATTGAAAAAAATATCATCATTTATAATATAATTGCAGCTACAAAAGCTGCAGACTGATCCATAAGATTTTTGATTCATTTAAATCAAGAAGGTGATAAAAGAACTAATTCTAATGGAAAAAAAAAAAAAAAAAAAAAAAAAAAAAAAAAAAAAAAAAAACAAAAAAAAAAAAAAAAAAAAAAAAAAAAAAAAAAAAAAAAAAAAAAAAAAAAAAAACTTGCAAATTCTTGAAGTGTCAAACTTACTTATTTGATAAATACTTTTTACATGTGGATTGAGCATATTGTGAATTCTTACATTCTTGGTTCAAAGAGAATTAGCAAACTCAAACGTAATACATATTTCATTGCTTAATTCCTAATTATTATTGAACTTAATATTTTAGTGGAAATTTATGGGAAAGAAATCCCTTAAAATTTTAAAAATACTAAATAAGTAATACCTGTCCAGAATTGTAATTCTGTTGTGGATTTGGACTATAGGACTGCATTCCCGGACCATACTGTTGTGACATCATACCATACTGCCCCGGCCTCTTCTGTGCCATGTGCTGCTGGGGATTTGGATATGGAGAAGCTCTAGTGCGGCCCTGTGGGGCCATTGCTGGATTATTTCCAGAATACATTGAAGGATGAGGCTGTCCGCTCAAGCCCATTGCACCTTTGTTCATGCCCATGGGACCATTTATGCCCATGCCATTATTCATTGGATTCACTGATGGTATATTGTTGGGCATGTTCATCATTGCATTACTGCCCATATGAGAACCCATTGGACTGTTCATATGACTTCCCAATGGACTGGATACACCAGTATTAGATGAAACTCTTTGATGATGAGAAGAGTAACCTGGTTGAAATTGCTGGCTCTGAATACTCTAAAGAAAAATATTAAAACACTTATTTTCTTTCATATAATAAGACAATGAAAATATTGATTAACATCAGCTTATCAAAGAAGTTCTATATGGAAATAAAACGTGTTTTTAACCCTAAAACAAAGAAAAGTGTTAAATCTATATTGATTTATTACTATTAGGATTAGTAGAGATATCAGTAAATAATAAACATAACACAAAATCATTTCACTGGATGTTATAATGCAGGTATTCAGGGGACAAGGGGAGTATTCAGTTAAATGCCAAGCTGACACTGCTGCTACATAATGGTTTCAACTTTTATTATGTAAAAATTTTTAATGAGGTCAAAATTTTAATCACTGGCTACTATACACAATGTCTTGTGCAACAAATATAATTTGTGACTATCATTATAGAAATTATAGATCAATATTCACAGAAAAAAACTCAAAATTTTGCCAGAAAATTCTACAGCACCAACATTAAATGTGTAATCGCCTTGTTTCTAAGAACTATATAGCCTAATGAATGAAAAAAATGATAAGCACAAGCTCATTTCTACAGTGAAACCATAAGCCTTCAGCTATTTGGTGCATGTAAAAATTTAAGGCAATGAGGCAAATTATGCCTGGTCAGGAAAAAGGAAAAACACTTTGAAAAACCATTTAATAACAATTATCTATGGCAATCAAATACGAACGAGCCTTTATTCCGAGCGTCACGGTGGGTATTTGTATGTATTTGGGCAGTTGTAGTCAAATAGAAGTCAGTATAATAAATAACTAATGTAAATTCTCGCCTAGTTTCTTCAGCATATAATAGTAGCAAAAGAAAATTTAGTGAACAACATGGGTCTCTAGTTATCAATCTCAATACATCGGCAATAATGTACGACAGCCAAGCTTTATGATGACAGACATTAATCTGAATGACGGTTTTTGGATATCACAAACAAAAGGCAAAATTTTCCAATTAATGAAATTTGTGAAAAAATGAGAAGAGGCAATAAATGAAGATAATACAATAGAAGATATTCCATTATGATGACAATGCCCCAAATATCAATCAGTTAATGGACAGTAAAATCCGAAGTGTGATTCCACATCCAGAAAATACAGAACATATTGTTACAGATAATGAAGGTGACAGAGAAATTGTTAAGAAAACGAAAAAATTTTATTTGACAATTTAGTGGGAATTCATGACATGGTAGTTACTTTGTTACTGAACAAGAAACTGCATCTATCTATGGAGAAAGTATTAGCATAAAAAATGATGCAACTTCAACAAGAAAAACATTGAAAGAAATGTTTAATAAAGCAAACAAATAGATATTGAGCTTTTTTGGGGGGAAGGGTAAATTTCAATTAAGGTCATAAATGCTTCATTATTTCACAAACATCTATTTCATATTTTTAATGTTATAATTCCTACACAGCTTAAAATTGGTGATAAATATCCAGAAAAATACAAAATACAAAATCGACAAGTCTGGATCTCAGACTTTGTATTGTACACTCAAACCTGTTTTTGTGCGGTGATAGGGAGCGCAATACAATTAAAAAGTTATGCAGTGGATAGGGATGACATAAAAAAGTCTCACGTAGAAAACAACTCAAAACCTTACGGAATAACTAGGAATTGCTTTTTTAAACGAAATCAAGACACATGGCTTGGCAGCTACTTGGAATTTAACCAAACCTTTTAGAACCTGATTTAGAAATACTGCAAACATTTTTTAATATTTTATTTACATATGTACTTATTTTACACATACAAAACTTTTCAAAACATATAACCAGCATTCTTCATAGTCTGACAATATGCGAACGTGGTTCAAAATCGCTTTGTCGCTTGAAGATAACTACCTTGCACTCGTTTAAAGTTGACTTTTTCAGTTACCATGTAGTTGGTGATCAGTTTTTGTGAAGACTGTTGTTTAACTAGACACTTGTATATGTCTCGGCAGCCAGATAGATTGACGCTTCTTTAGAAATCTTGAAGTTCTTTTACAATTGGCATTGATTGCAAGAAAATATTTTTATTGATAACTTTGTCAATTATGCTCCAATTTTCATATACCGCACTCAAAAAAAAAAAAAAAAAAGAAAAAAAAAAAAGAAGAAAAAAAAAAAGGAAAAAAAAGAAAGAAAAAAAAGAAAAACAAAGAAGAAAAAAAAAAAAAAAAAGAAAAAAAGAAAAAAAATAAAAAAAAAGACAAGTTTCATTATACCCATATAAATCTGCGGTCACATTACTAACAATTTAAATTTTTAAATAATAAAACTTTTTAATCCCACTTACAATTTTTTTAAATAACACTCTCATTTTTTTACGTATCACAAGTTTATTTTTTAAAATTACTTTCATAAAGGGAGACTAGGATTTCCCTTTCACTCACAGTTTTCAGAAAACTGGCTGGAAATTTTACTTTCAAAAAACAATTTTGACAATATGGATTTTATAATATTTACAACGCTTACATACCCAAATATTTAAAATTTAAGATCTAATATTATAAAAAATCTAAATAATATTCTATTTAAATAACACTAATTCATTTTCACTCAGGATATGAAAAATTATTAATTTAACAGTTCATCATCACTTTTAAAATATTTATTCCATTTCTCTAAGAAAGACAAAAATTACCTGGCTATATTGATTATTCATGACTACTTCTTGTTGTTGCCTCTCCTGAAGAGCAACAACACTAGCTGTTGCTGTAGCAGTAGCAGTAGCAGCAGCTGCAACCAAAGCAGCAGCACTGAGTGCCGATGAAGATGACTGAAACTCTGAACCACTATTGTGCCCAGACGTTCCAATTGGATTGGGTCCCATTGCAGAATTCATCTGACTTGGATTTGCATTATAGCTGAAAATGTAGAAACGAGATAAAGTAACGGCAAGTAACGTAATAGAACAAGATGTTAAAAAGCAAAAGAAATAATATTTTCGAGGTGGAGGTATAATCTGATTAAATTTCAATCTTTCAAGTTCAAGGAAAAAAACACTCCGATTTTCCATTTTCATACACAGGTCTGTTTCTCCTCCTAATTACATTTTACACAATACAAATTACAATATAATAAATATCAGAAGGTATTTACACACTTTTATAATGATTTCGGAGCCATTTAATTAATGTTTAAAATGTAAAGAGTATTTTTTCGATCTGACAGCCCCTTTTTTTACAGGGATATAAGTCTGCATCATGATTTCCATGACCGAACAGCTTTTTGTAAAACTTCCAAGTTTGTTTATTTTTCCTGTTTTGCAGAGTCCATAAATTAGGAGGTGGTTCTCCACTTAGAAAAAGTTGTTTCTAAGAGTTTTTTTTTTGGGGGGGGGACACTAAAGGCACAATGAATCCATATGTGAAACGTCAGGGGACTTTGCAAGAATATGCTAAAAAAGTATGTATGCAATACCTTCATCAGTCTTCATTTTTTCAAGGATTGCAATGATAATTTTTGAAGTATCCCTTGTTGCTTTGTCTTGATGAAGTTTCACTATTTAAAAGTCACTGAGATAAATAAAAAAAATGGGACTTTTCTATAAATATCGTATGTAAAACTTTCTCTTGATAGTATGCTGATTCAATTTTAACATTTTTTTCCACTCGTTTTATTTTTAATTTCCCAATGTAAGAGAATTCTGCGACAATCATAAACCCCTTTCCGAAACTTTCTTTGTATTGACAGAGCCAGATTTGTATATTTTTTCTCTTCATTTTTCATTTTTTAGGAATAAATACTCCTCACTTTGTAGCAGTCACATAGGTAGATGTTATGCTTCATCAAGGGCTACAATGTATTTCCATTTATCTCCTGCTAAATAATTTCCATACAGGGTTCTAGAAATTGTTCTGTACTGAGCCACATACCTGGTTAACATAATGTTTTTTTAGCTTTGTTATATATATCTTGGTTTATTATTTCATTCATTGATGCTACAGGTGTATTTAAAGATTTTGTAATTGATTATGTGTCAGGGATTTTCTCTATTTGCCAATGATTTAACTTCAGAAACATTAGAAACAGTGTGTACGTTTTTTGAGTACTCGTCTGGAGTCATCCTTCCATATATATGATTGATGTCCTCCCCCAATGTTTATTTTTCTCTCCGAAATTTTAATATCATGCATTTCACAACATTTTTGATGGAAGAGGTATTTCTCTTTGGAAAATGCAAAATATATCCTTCTTGTTTAGATGCTACATTTTGAAAGACGAATAAAAGTAGGTGACGATATTTCTCATTTCAAATAATAAGCTGTTGCTAGAAATTTTTATTCCAAAACATTTGCCTTTTTAAAAAATTCTTTACCAAAATGGTACTAAAAATGTGTAAATACCCTTTGCAATTTCCTTTTTATTATTACATTTGACAAAAAATTTAACAGCTCGGTACTCTCAAATGCCTCGATTTCTGCATACCTAAGATAACACAAAAAACTGAGTAAGAAGTAAAAATTTATCCAACATAGCTATTGCATTAAAAATACAATAGGAAAAGTTAAAAGCCTATATACCAACTTCTAAAGTTATACTCCTGATTTCAGAATTAAAAGCTGACTTGTAGTCAGTAGAACAAATAAATAAAAAAAATTTTTTTTGTTAAATCCTGATTTTTTTAAAATTCAAATTTGATGTTAAATGCAAAACAGCAGCCTAGTATTTTAGCCTATAAGAAAGGCAAATTCTCTCTGATAATTTTTTATATTAGTATCTTAAATCTTTGTTCCACATAAGGAAGTATTTAAATTTTTGATTTGGCCTACAGCAATTATTTTAATTATACAAACCTAAATCTAGGTTTATATCCTGAAATGCATTAAAGTTTACTTTGTAGGTATGTACTTCCTTCCCTTACTTTTTAAAAATAAATTAGGTTTGAATTGCATCAATTTCCAATGTAACAAAATACAGCAAAAAGCAAATTTGAAGTCATATTTCAAACTATATGAACGAGCATGATTCTATGTAAGAATTTTCTCAGGTAAGTTGTTGTGTTAACATATATTATGGATTCATACATGACTGGGAGGTGTGGATAAATGAAGTCTAATCAGCTGAGTATACACACTGACTATGAAATTACTTAAAACCCAAAATCTTAAGGCTCAAATGCTTATCCACCAATTTTTATTAGCATTTATTATTAAAGATTTTGTAACATGATCCAAACTTAATATGCATGAAATTCCCTTTATTTCAAGTAGGTAATTTGTACAAAATTTACTTAAGTAACAATATGCTAATACCTAATCTGCTGGTGGTTATCTTTTATCCGAGTTACATAAGATATTCTTTTTAGATATCCTTTAAAACTTTTATTACGAAAATTCCATATATACAGTAAGACCCCGCTTAACGCTGTTTCGTTTAGCGCTGTTTCGGTTTAGCACTCTTTTATTTCAACCGGGGATTCCACGAAACGCTCGCAGCATACGGGGATCCCCGATATTATGCGCATAGGTTTCAAATACATATCCGAAGAGTTTACTTGTATTCTTGTTGGTGCGGTATGTACAGACATATTTTAAGGGGTAATGTGTAAGAGTCGAAGAAATAATTCAAGAAGCAGCGGCTAGCCTTTCTAATGTGAGCTCAAAATTAACTGAACAAGAAGAAAACAAAAATGTTGACAGCAGTGATTCAGAAGAGAGCAAAAAGAACTTTCGATGACGTTGTAAAAAGGAGTTGTCTACCATAACGGAAATAATGGATCGATTCATTGAAATGATCCGAATTTTGACAGGAGCTCAAATAAGGCGTGGTGTTAGAAGATGCTCTATCCGTTTATAAGAACTTTTAAGAGAACAACGCAAAAGAAAAAGGGCAAACAACATTAGATGCTTTTGTCACAAAAAGGCAGAACACTGAAACGCGGAAGGCTAACTAAATATGACTGACTGAGAATTTTATTGTTTTTTTTTTTTAAGAATATTCGTTTTGTTATTATATTTTGTTTTTATTTTTGCAAGAAATAATAATGTGGTATTATTGGGCTTTAAGAAATAAGTTTGGTTTTATTTTATTAAAAAAAACATCTTTTTAAAATTTAATACCTAACCAATTTTCCTAGCCATCTTCCCCTAACCCCAATATTAACATGTAAAGATAGCCTTGTTTAGCGCTGTTTCGCATTACGCTCTACTTTGATGGAATGTATCCCCCGCGTTAAGCGGGGTCTTACTGTATATATAAAACTATTTGAGCTGACAAGGTCATAAATTTATATTACAATGCATAATGATGATGTAAAACAACATTAATAAAATGCAACCTCAGGAGAATAAATGGTGTTACTGAGTGTAGTGGAATTATTATAATGATTTAAGCAGAACAAACATGTATTTACTTAACTCTCTATCTATGTACACCTATTCATAATACTTATGAAGTAATCATATTAAATTTCAAATAACATTTATTTTACATTTTGTAACATTTGGCTTTATTTAAGGCAAATCACTTTAAGGCTATCTGTTACGTGAAGGATACTTGTATGCAGGTGTTACTAAAAACTAGGTAGTTTACTCAAGGAAAATAACCAAAATGGTTAACCAAAATGTGCGAATATTTATGATCCACATAAATAATTACCAGAAGTTACTCATACATTGACAAGGCAATTATTATTTGAGATGCAGCTTTCATCCAATAAATTTGGCTGCAAAAACAAAGCATTTGTCATCTTAATATAATTATTTTACATTTTATCCACTTAAATTTTTGATAACAACAACAATATTAAATAAAATGTAAGAATGACAAAACAGTATAAACTGTGAAATAAGTTAACCCTCATTCCATACACCTGCTGGTTTAGGTGTCAATCCATAGTTCTGCATAATAGAATTATGGTAAAAAATATTTTTAATATAAAAAATATTGTACATTAATATAATTAATGCAAGTTCTGCAGTAGAAATGGTATATGTAATAGATAATGTTGATCATATGCACAAAGGGTTCATAACCAGGGAGGAATTTCATAGTTTTTTTGGGGAAAAGCAGTCAGCCTTTTATTTATCTGTTAGGTATTTAGTTTCAGCTTATTTATTCAAGTTTTGGTATTTATCAATATTTTCTAAACCTTTTCTTGTTTAATTTATAAAACACATTAAAAATTAATCTAAATTTATATAAATGCATATACATTTTTCGAATTTTGAAAAGGAGAGGTGGGAGAGGGATCATCTAGTAATGGTGAAAGAGGTGCATGGTGCAAAAAAAGGTTGAGAACCACTGATATACACGACTGTGTGGCATTCTAGCAGCTAAGTAATAATAAATTTACAAAAAATCCACCCCGAAGGTATTCAAAGAAACGGGTTATGTGCATAGCGACGAAAAAGAAACGAAATCCTTTAAACGAGTCAAGACCGATGAGAAGGGGAAGGTGGGTTAAAAAGCGCATTCGTCCGAATGAAGTAATCCGAATTATGGTCCTGAGACTGGATGCGAGTTCGACCACGGCAAGATGCAGTGGCCCGAGCGACACTTTTTGAGTGTGACCTTCGCAGTCACGCCCCAACACACTCTACAAGTGCGAAAAAGCCGGTGGCCTTGAAAGGGTCAGTAGATGTATAATAAGGTACGAAAGAATACTAATACAATTGGAAGATTGAATTTCGAAGATACTAGATAGATGGCGCGTAGTGCGCGACGCTTCGAACGGTAAGGATGATTGATTTGGCTTCAATCTCCACAGTAATTTTCGCTTTTAAAATAGTATTCTCGTGAAAAGCTAGTTCTGTCTAAACACCAAGACCTTCTTGAAAAGTTGAAAGACCGCTTAGTAACATCTATTTATGTATTCTATTAATCCGAACTTGCTACTAAAATATTACAAATTTTGTAAATC